TCATTTTAACAATGTTTTTTTTTAATAATTAATTCTTTTTGTACAGTTTTTTTATTTTATTTAGTATCTTGCAATAGGCTAGCAATAATGTGATTCAATCAGTTGTTCATTAAATATTATTTTCTCTATTTTTAAAGACGTCCCAGTTATAAAAAAGCTCTTTCACACGTGCATAATAATGTGATTAAATTAGTTGTCAAATGATTGTTTTTTTTTTTGAACAAACAATATCATCTACACTAAGGGAGAGGGGATGGGCTTAGCCTCACAATGAGTTAGTAATAATGTGATTCAATCAGTTGTTTATTAAATATTATTTTATCTATTCTTAATGTAAATTCAATAGAATGTAAATGGAAATTGAAATACCAATTTTATTATATGAATTCATCTACCTTGATCGGTTTGTGAGAGGCTTTTTCTAGCATGATCTAAGATTATTCATTTACTTTCAAATATTTGACTTTTCTTTTGTCAATTCACGCATATAAATATATTTAAAACGTGTAAGTCACGCATAGCAAGCAGTGATTCAAAAAATATCTTCTGCACGTGCGTGAGTGCATGCATGAAGGCTAGGATTAGTTAAATCATCATCAATTTTTTTATAAGAACATTTTTAGTTTAATTAGAGTTATATTATCTCAGATCTTATATAAATGTAAAGTATGGGCCAAGCTAAAGACCAATATGTCAACTTCTTGACTATTTCTTTACATCATACCCCCAATTGTATTTCCAAGAATCAGTAGCCTTTGAATTAATAAAAAATAAACAATGTTCATAAATATATATATATATATATATATATATATATATATATATATATATGCACATGAAATTCCAAATTTAGGTTGAAGACGTTGACAAGGAAGTGCTCAAATGTTTGTACACTTGCCACCAAGCCATGACACTTCTCTTACCACGAGGTGTGCGTAGATACCTATAGAACTAAACTAAGTGTTTTGTTTTATATTATTATTCAAAAGTTTATAGTTACAAAACTAATTATACCTTTGTCATTTACTTCAAACTATAATTTTATAATCACTCTTGTCTCAATAATGTAGTATAATTTTATTCCATTTCATATATAAAATGTGTTTGTACGTTATATATACCGAAACTGCAGTTGTTTTCGTGGTTGTTAATTGATAGATAGTTGCCTAGCTAAAACGATAACTAAATAAAATATGATGACCTTCTGAGGTGTCGAGGTGGTATCATCAATCAATCAACAAACATTCCCATTTCTTTCTTATAAATTTCATAATCCTTTTCATTTGTCATCAAATATTTAAAAGATCAATGCTAGGTGTACCAATTTTTTAATAAAATACAAATGAGATCATACATTTAAATTTAATAGGCGACAATATAGAACATTAAAGTCAAAATTCTTTTTAGAGCATGAATGTGGTAGAAATGTTTTAACAATACTTTTGAAATGTCAATAGTCATGATCTTAATTAAGGCTACATTGTCCTCATAAGTTTGTTAGCAAACAAGTCACTACATATCCACAGACCGCTTCTTTTAAATTGAATTGATAATTTTAATTTTGGGTGTTCATAGAGGTTTAAAGGTGCAATATTTGTTGCAGTTGTGAATTAGTCTGGTGGTCAGGATCTTCCTCTTCAATTCAATGTGTTTTAAATTTAAATTCTCCCCCTACCTTTAATGTAGGTTAATAGAAAATATCACTTTTAATAAATAAAAATTGCAATATTATTTATTTATGTAAAAGTTGTCTTTACTATTATAGAGTACGATAATAAATCACGAAAATTGTACCATACTCCCACACATGACATTCATTAAAAGAAGGGCTTTTGAACATTAGTCCTTGCAAAAGATTAAAATTTAAAAAAAAAACATGGTGCTAGATTACATAATCAATTTAATTCCTTGAAGTGTACTTTTATCAAAATTTATATTCAATTTTTGTTATTTAATGTGTATTTTTATTTAATCTCTCCACATTAAATTTTAATTTTATTAATATGCACATATTTAGTTCTTTAATTATAAATGAACATAAATGAGAAAATATTAAAAGAACTTTGTGATACAAAAATATATAAATACATAAGTGTACAAAAATGATTGTGCCGAAGTATAAAAAATTAACTTAATTGTACCTACATGATTGTACCGAAATATATTATAATGAACCCAAATGTATGTACCGAAATGTATTATATTGAATTAATGTACTTAAATGTCAATACCGAAATGAATGTACCAAAATGTACGTACCAAAATATAGTATACTGAATTAATGTACCTAAAAGTCAATACTCAAATGAGAGGTATTAAGTTCGAATCTCATGGATGGCGAATTCGATACCAAATTATGTTGTCCATTGTGTAGCTTAACCGAACCCTCGTCGCCTTAGTGTAAAATATATCGTTGTACTAAAAAAATGAAAATAAAACTCAAATGTGTGTACCAATATGTACGTACCGAAATGCATGTATATGTTTATATCGATGAATATACCGAAATATTTAAATGTATTAATGTACCTAAATGAAGAACATACAAAATTGTAATCGGACTATATATTATAAAAAAAAATTAGTTGCATAAATGTAGACATTAAAATATATTATGATAAATGAAATGAAAATTAAATTTCAATGTAATTAATACATTAAAATAAGAATAAAAAGATAAATAAAACACCCAAATATAACTAATAAATGAAATGATTAAATGTACTATCGACTAAAATTGGATTTTAATCTTATACAAAATTATAGTCTAAAACTCGATTTTTTTAATCATTAGCTGAATATAAGGCACTAAATTAACGGTTAAGAATTTCGATTACACATCATACCAGCATTCTAAAAAAACTCCAATAAATCAACCCAACTCAGAAAACCAGATGACCTAACGTCTTGGGCAGCACCATGCACCCATTTGGGACTAGGGAGAGTCACAACTTACAAGACAAGACAGTGGTATTTGTGTATTTTAGTGACGCCTTTTGAGATTAGTTGGGGGTTTGCCACTTTTGTAGCCAAATGGGGCACAAAGCGCAACCTTTGTTGAACAAAAAGAAAGGCTTTGGGGCATCTCCATTTACTACAATACTGTTTTTTTTTATTTATTTATTTTTTTTTTTTTTTTTTTTTTTTACTATTGCCCCTTTTGCAAAGGAATTAACACACACAAAAAATGTGTGACAAACCCCCAAAACGACTATGGACTCAACTTCCATACCATAACAACCACCATAGAGTGTTTTAGTTAGGGGTTTGCCACTTTTGTGGCCAAATGGGGCACAAAGCGCAACCTTTGTTGAACAAAAAGAAAGGCTTTGGGGCATCTCCATTTACTACAATACTGTTTTTTTTTTTTTTTTTTTTTTTTTTTTTTTTTTTTTTTTTTTTACTATTGCCCCTTTTGCAAAGGAATTAACACACACAAAAAATGTGTGACAAACCCCCAAAACGACTATGGACTCAACTTCCATACCATAACAACCACCATAGAGTGTTTTAGTTATTGAGGCGAATTTCAGGATTCATACTTCACTCAATTGGTTTTGGATTCAATTTTTAGCGCTGGTGAATCACATAATGATGACAAAGTAGAAGTTGAAATGACTCTGTGAATCTTTGTGATCTTCAAAAGAGTGAACTATCGTGACTTCACTACCAATGATTCCTTAAAAAGAAAAAAAAAAAAGAAAAAAAAAACTTCCTTACCATACCAATATTCATCCAAAACATATTCTTGATGACAAGATGATCAAAGAATGCATAATGACTCCTCGTGAATTTGATATTGGCAATGAAGAATTAATGGATGAGTGTTTGTTTTTAATCTCCAACATTTGATGTCAAGTTCAATATTGTATGACCATAGACTTTCAGTCATCTGGCACCGACAGTATGACGCTCTAATATTATTCAAATTCAACGTGACTTAGTCGCCTATATGTTGGCACGTGAATGATATATTTGCCGACAAGTTTACCTAACAAAGTACTTGTGTGTGAAGATTTTTCTTGAAAAGAAATCAGTCAACAGTGTAAGGAATATGTTAAGATTTCAACTTTAATTTCTGCTTAGTATTACAGTCTAGTGATATTCTTCTGTAATTGTAAGTAAAAAATTTTATGTTTGATTCTTACTAAAGGTGAATTTGGAACCATATTATTGCTAGCCTATTGTGAAACTAAACCTATCCCATTTTTTAATGTAGATAATATCGTTTGTCAAAAAAAAAAAAAAATCAACTTCAATTTGTTTTGCATCTTTTGTTTGGCTGCTAATTTTCATTTCAAACGAGCTGGATTGGATCACCTGTACACGTCAAAAATTGTGTATTTTGGGCTCCTTTTGAAATGGGTTTGAAGGACACCAAGGCCCAATTATTAGTCTTCATGCAAATTATGGGCTTGTGCTGGATCTTGGCTCAGTTGTCTTTTAATTTTTCGTTTGTGTTATTAACTACTGGTATTAATATTCAATAGCACTAGGGTTGAGTGAAATTAGGTTTTTGGAATGTCTTAGGTCTAAAATATGCAAATGACGAGTTACATAACTAATTAATGTTGTGTCATCATACCTTCTACTCACCAACTTTACCGATAATGTAGTGTTATCGTACCCCTTACACTTACTGAACACGTGCGTAATAAGCATTCGAGTTAGAAATCTTGTTGGAATATGACGGAGAAGAACTCAACTCCAAAGAACCAAAAAAATATTGGATTTGAGGTCGTGAATTCAAGCAAGTTTTTACCTAATTCTAATGTATCTAATCAGTTAAGTTTTGATTGAGTTCGAGTTGATCATACCCAAGTTACACCCCTATTTTTTGGAGAATTATCTTGGGCTTATTTTTGTTGTTTATTTGGGCCTTTGGCCGTATTATGAAAAAAATCAGAAACCTCAGAAAAGCCATTTTATTTGTGCAACAACCACATTTCCATCCCCAACCGGGCCGACCCCGAGCAAGTAGGGTTTATCATCACCCGCTCCACCGCGAAACTCCCATGCTCCTCCACGTCCAAATGGGTGGCGCCAGCAATCGTTTCTTCACCATCCTCTCCACCACCACCACCACCAGCCACCCTTTCCACCGCTTCCCTTCTCTCCTCCGCCTCTCCCGCCAATACAAACCCCCACTCTTCCCCGCCTCCCTCTCTTCCCTTTCCCACCGTCACTCCCTCCCTTCCCGCCCCTCCTCCTCCGCCTCATCTTTCCCTCCCAGTTCCTCTCACCATTTCCATTCCCACTCCCCCGTTTCCTCCGCCTACCCTTCTTCTTCCGCCGACTCCGCCGGTTTCCGAGCCTCGCACCCCTGGCCCGAGTGGTCCCACCTCCTTAACTCTCTCTCCGCCGCCGGATACAACGGAGCCAACGGCCACGATGAGTTCACAGCTGCGGTCCGGGATTTGCCCGAGGACTTTATGCGTGCTGCCAGTGTTTGCCTGGCGTTTGCTAGGCAAAGAGCTGGCCTTTTGAGGTAATGTTTTATATGCTTCTCTTTCAATCAGTAAAAGTCTTGAAATGTTTTACCAGTGGGTGAATTGCGTGTGGTTTTTGATGCAGGTTGCTTTCGAGGCGAGATTTAGAGGTTGTGGTGGAGAATGGGACGCCATTTCTGTTCCAGAATGGCGATGATTCGGCGAGGCGAATGAGATTGTTTCTCGGCCAAGGCAGTACCAATGTGAGCTTTCTTTAACTTTGTGAATGGTCTTTAATTTTTGTTTAAGTGAAATGGTTTGTTCACTGTTTTCGGTCTCGTTTGAGATTGCTTCTCTTGAAAGAATTTCTGCTCATAAGCAATTATGCTAGAAGTTCTTTTGTTATAAACATGTCAAAATTTAATAATCCAAGTGCTTGAAGCAGCACCGAGCAGGTGCTTCTCTAGAAGGCACTTCTATGACCTAGAAGCGCTTTTTAAGTTTTTCTGTGAAACATTGTTAGAAGTGCTTTTGGATGTTGGGAAACAAATTTATCCCCTCCAATAGCAATCCCAAACAGGCCTTTAATCAGATATGCAACATACAAAATCTGTAGTCCAATGTAGTCAAACAAACATTACTCCTACAGAAATCAAACTTAAATTAGAGTTTTCTGTAACTTTTTCAAGCAAAAATTCAATACTGTGTCAATTGGATTCCTCAGCATATATAGATTTCCCTGAGTCAAGCACTATGCCAAAACCACTGGAAATAGGAATGTGTTCTGCAAAAGTACAAAAGCTAATGTTCTTTGGGAAAAATCTTTTTTATTTTGTTCTTTGAAGAGTATCTGTGCTATACGTATACGCTAATATACTGCTGAGCTGAAAATTTTCAGTGGACTGAAAGAAAGAGAAAAAAGAAAGGTTATATTGGTGATCTTGAAAACTTTCCATTTGGAAGCCCAATTGATTTTAACATTTATGTTAATTTTGATGTAAATATACTAAGACCTTTATGGGTTTATCTCAATTTTTGTTTTTATGACTTTTGCAATGGCGTTATAGGATTCATATAGCCAACCCCACTTAGTGGGAAAAGGCTTTGTTGTTGTTGATGACTTCTGCATGATTTAGATATCTTCTAATTCATCGGTTTTATATAAGATACACTTTCTTAAGTACATTTAAGTTACGTTCTACTAACCAATTGATTTTTATTTCGCATAATAGGCCTTGGACATTGATAAAGCACAAACGATTGATTTGATGAGATTTATATTGAGTTATGCTAGCAATCCTGTTTTTTCTTCAGAGAGAAACAATCTCTATAATAGAGAAATTGTTGAATCTTCTGTCCGTACTCTGTTGAGTGAAATGGCCAAGCTCTGTTATAGTGCTCCAGATTCGAACTCTATTGGATCAATGCAGAGTCGATCCTCTGATAACTTTGGAGAATCTGCTAGGCCTTTTGAAAAAACTATTGAAATGAAAAGAGGTGATTGGATTTGCCAGAGGTAGAGTCCTATTGGCTTATTCGTCAATTTCCATCTGTCTTCTTTTCTTTTGTTTCATGTTTGTATGGCGTTCTATTCATGAGCAGGTGTAATTTCATGAACTTTGCAAGAAACATGAAATGCCTTGAGTGCGAGGAGGCACGGCCAAAGAGGGAGCTGACTGGCAAGGAGTGGGAGTGTCCTCAGTGAGTTTTGCATTTTCATTTCTTCTCTTTTTGGGTTTTCTGATAATTTTTTTTACATTTACTGATTAATTGATGATGAAATAACTTCTTTCTCAGATGTGATTTTTTTAACTATGGGAGAAACATGGTATGTTTGAGGTGTGATTGCAAGCGCCCTGGAGAGGTTTCACGTGGTTCCACTAATGATGGTTTAGATATGGGATATGTAAATATGGGTGATAAAAATACAGCTGATATCGATAGCAGGCTGGCCGCTAATGAAGAGAAGGCACAGCGGTGGTTTAGTAAGATTTCTCAGCTAGACAGTACTTCAGACATGAGTAGCGCTGTATCTGATGAAGATTTTCCTGAAATAATGCCATTGAGAAAAGGAGTAAACAGATTTGTTGTGAGCACAAGAAAGACTCCATTAGAGAGGAGGCTGGCCAATGCTCAATACCAAAGAAACGTGGATAATGAGGGTAATTACCAAGGCAAGGATCTTCAACCTGGGAGTGTGAATACGTCACTTGGTCGTACACCCAACAGGACTTTAGATGAAATTCTCGGCCATGTTAATACAAGTATGAATCCCAGACAAAATGTTGGAACTGATACTCCCTCTTCTATATCAAGCTCAGTTTCCTCGGAATATGGACAACCTAGAAGGGGAGGGGGAAATTCCAATTATTCCCAACTTGTGCCATTACCCGCTGATACGTTTGCCAAGAAACCTGAGAATTCGAGTGTGGAGGAGAGTATGCAGCTGTCTGAGAAGCCTACGGAACAGGCTGGGAGCAAGGATGAAGAAAGAGACCAAGCTGAAAAATCTGAGAGATGGTTTAAGAGGGTTGCAGAGTTGCACGATGTTACTGATCTTGCAAGTGCAATTTCAGATGAGGACTTTCCTGAAATTATGCCGATGCGTAAAGGAGAGAATCGATTTGTTGTCAGCAAAAAGAAAGATCGGTCTTTGACTACTCCGGCATACAAGAGACGTACAGCTACTGAACAAGCTAACAATGGCAATTATGTTCCCTTCGTCCCATTCCCACCCGACTACTTTGCTAAAAAGAAGAACCAGCAGACAGATTTGACTAACAAGATTGCTGATGAAACAACTTCAACTACGATGCCAGATAACTCTTCAGACAGTTTGCTTGATGCTAGACCCCACGTGCAACAGGTGAAAAATCAGCAAAGCAATGTGCCAAGCTGGAATTCAGAAACTTCGGGACAAAACCAGTTCAGGGATTCTGCCCCAAATTTTGCTAGTTCTAGCTCATACGGCACGGATAGATTGAACATTGGATCTTCCGGGAAAGAGAAGTCTAACCAGACAGCAAGTTCAACAGGAAATTCACCACAGCAGTCCAATGATCAGAACATTAGACAGGGCTGGAGTGGGAAAAGCTTGGAGGGGTCAGCAGTGAAGGAACCAGATCCTTTAGACATGTCAGAGGAGGCGAAAGCAGAGAGATGGTTCAAGCGCGTTGCGCAGATAAAAGACATCTCAGAGCTGAGTCAGATTCCCGATGAAGATTTCCCGTCAATAATGCCAATGCGTAAAGGGGTGAATAGGTTTGTTGTCAGCAAGCGGAAAACGCCGTTGGAGAGGAGGTTGACATCTCCACAATACAGAAAAAATCTTCCTATTGTAAGCTCTGATCCAGCAGAGGAAAGAGACAGTGACTGAGTATCACAAAAAAGACTTAACACTTCGTTGTTTATGGAAGATGAGATTATTGTTTTTTTTTTCTCATATTAATTTTTGATAACTGTATTTTTTGGCTTGCCTTCCAAACATTGTATAAAGATATACATTTCTTCTGGTTATGCAGTTGCCTGGGTTGGAGGTAAATACATTTTTCATGTTGAGTCATGGGACTAACGCGAGGTGAGGGCAATTTGGTAAAATTGGATGGTTGGTTAGGTTTTAAAAGTTTATGTGGATTTTTTTTTACAACTTAAGGGAAGCTAAATTACATAATGAACCAACAAGGTATCTATTTTATAATTCAGTCGAAAATGAGACATGTGACTTATAAACGAAAATAAAATGACAGGGTTGTAAATTTAGTGGCAAAAAGAAAGTTCAGGTGATTATATTCCAAAAAAAAAAAAAAATTGAAAGCCATTTGCAAGCCTGTTTATTAACTTTTAAAGTACTGATAACAATTTCTTTTATAATATGTGGGGCTAAAAAAGAAGTGTGAGATCATTTGTAAGTCTGTTTAGCCTCCAACAAGGCAAAACATTGAGCATAACCGTACCATTTCTCTGGTTATGAGACAAGAGAAAAACAAAAAAAATATTGTAAAACGGTCAAATGACGGAAATTTCTCGTCATCTAACTCTTCTTGTATTTGTAAGGGAGTAATCTATGCACACACTTTTTTACTTCTTCACACATTTTTTAGCTATGACTTTTAATTCTCTTTTGATTTGTCCATCCAATAACTAAAAACAAAGCAAAGGCCTACAAAAATAAAAAATGATGGGCAAAAATATCTCCCATTTGTATTATCCTTATGGCTTTTCGGCCGGCCTTACCCGAACTACGAATCTAATTGCCTTTTTAATCAAAAAAGACGTGGCCAATCATTTACCATACTTGAAGTGGAACATTACTTGCATGTTAAATTTGGAACATGTACTTTAACAACAACCATGTCTTTTCTTCCACATCCAACTCAGCTCCCCATTTCTTCTCCACATGCCGCCTCAAATTTTCTCAGCAAAATGAGAAATCCGACGATAACCCTCGTATCTGCCTTGAACTTCATCGTCTTCCTCGTCTTTGACTTTCTCGACACCTTTCTCTGCGTCGTTTGCAGATACATTGACGAGTTGTTCGAAGGGCAGGCCTCCAGCTGTTACTGCACAGACAAAGAAGAACAGCAGGCGAGGAGGAATGGCGATGGAGAAGAAGGTGAGGAGCTTTCGCTTTCAGAGACCTTGTACGAGAGGAAAAACGTTTTTAGGAAAATGGGGTTTCTTGGATTTGCGAAAAAATGGAGGAAAAGTAAAAGTGAAAATCCAGGAAAGGTAAAAAACCTGAAAAATAGGTGGTCGGACTGTGGATGTCAGTCTTGTGTTTCATGGACCAATGATGCTGCCCAGAAGCTTCACTTTGTCATTGGGGAGCCTGAGACTTCTTCACAAGGTATTTTCATTTTTTTTTCAGCTACATCTTAGTCACAGGAAATGATTTCCCGCACATTTTTTTTTTCTAACTACTTCCATCTTTATTTTTTTTTTTTACTTGTTTAATCCAAATGCTAGAAATAAACAAGGTTGTGCAAAGTCGAGGGTGGAAATCTTTTTTTTTTTTTTTTTTTTTTAATTTCAGAACTTTGTGACTTTCTAAGACCATCTCTAATGGTTGGGCTAAAAGTCAAATTTTTTAATCCAAAAACAGTTTTTCTACTCCAACCGTTTTACCCTAAAATTTTAGCTCGGGATTATTAAAGAATGAACTTAGACTTTTTTTTTTTGTTAAATTAAATTTAAAAAAATAAATAAATATGTAGACTATCGTAAATTAATTTTATGAACATTTTAATCTAAAAAAATTTAAATTCCGATAAATATTGGGTAAAGTACACCCCGATTTCTGGGCTAAATTTCGAGGGGAATTTGGCATTGATTTAGCATTTAGCATTTAGCTCAAAATTTCCCCTTGGGTTGGAGTGGGTTTGAGGGGAAATTTTGAAGGGTAATTTGGCTTTTAACCCACCATTGGAGTTGGTCTAAAGAGTTGCTAATTTTATAGCTTGCACACGGATGAAGGAAAATTAAGAAATATTTATGCTTTGTTTTTATGTCAGTTTTGGTAGTAATCCCTCCAAGTACCCCATCCACCAACCCGCACCCCCCCCCCTCCCAGTCCTCTCCTATTTGAAAGGTGAAAATAAGTCTCGTTAACATCTTGAGTTGACTTTTTATATAGAGAGAGAAAGAGAGAGAGAGAGAGAGAGAAGGAGGTAGGTGAGAGAAGATGGGAGGAGAGGGGAGAGAATCTTGCTCTAATGGAATTTCATTTTCTTAGCACCAGAAAGTTTACATTTTATAATTTAGGGTAATAAGTTGGTTGTCTGCATGTTGAGATTAATCCTAAAGGACAACATTTTCAGATCAAGTTAGTGACAAATTATTAGGATGAATGTTCAATCACTACTATAAGGCCGTTTAGATTGATAAACTCGAGTTTCAAAACTAGTTTTGATATTGAATGATCCGCTTTCTCTGTCTGAACTCCGTCCTTTTTTCGGCCTTTAGATTGAATAAATCACGGAAAAGTCGAGAAACAGAATTATGGCATAAGATAATTGCTCATATTGTTGCCATTTGATATTTGACAGCCCTCACTGATGAGGATTGCAGAGGAAAGCCACCGGAGAATGTGATATTCCTGCACGGGTTTCTTTGTTCTTCCTCGTTTTGGACAGAAACCGTCTTCCCGAATCTTTCAGAACATGGGAAACGTAATTACAGATTGTTCGCCGTAGACCTGTTGGGATTTGGAAGAAGCCCAAAGCCAAGGGACTGTTTCTATACTTTGAAGGATCATTTGGAAATGATTGAGAAATCTGTGATTTGTCCATTCCAGTTGAACTCCTTCCATTTGGTTGCACACTCCATGGGTTGTTTAATAGCAATTGCTTTAGCTGCTAAGCACCCCGAATTAGTAAAATCGGTCACTCTTGTAGCACCTGTAAGTTCATGAATCCTTTAGTATGCATACATTTCGTCTATTTTCTTTGTCATCTTTAAGGCTTGTTTGGAATTGCTTTCGAGAAGCACTTCTTCTCGTAAGGGCTAATGCCAGAAGCTTTTTTAGCCTTTCTGGAAGCAGTCCCAGACAGACTTTTAGACATGCATGTTTGATTGAATTGTTATGTGGATTTATGGTCTGTAGCCTTACTTCCCTTCCAAAGATGGAGACAGCTTAAGAGTACTTGAAAAAATTGCTGCAAGGAAACTATGGCCACCGTTCGTGTTTGGAATGTCATTAATGTCATGGTATGAACACCTGGGTCGATGCGTCTGTTTTCTTGTATGCCGACACCACAGGACTTGGGAGACGATCGCAAAGCTACTTACCCGGAGAAGGTAACTAAACCCTCAACCTTGAACCCTAAACCCTAGAAAAAAATACAGCAAAACACACGATTTTCTTAGTTCCTTCTTCATTTGAAAAAACATGTCATAGTAAGCTTGTGTTATGTTTCTCACTGAAGAATGTAAATCCCGACATTGGAAACATGATAAAATTAAATGCAATTCATGTTAAGTGCTTCCACTACTAATTGTCGTTGACCTCCTAACCCGTGACATTTCCTTGACAGGGATCTTCATTTTATGACTGTGGACTTCACTAGGCACACCCACCATTCAGCTTGGCACACCATGCACAATGTGATATGTGGGGGAGCAAAGTTAATGGAAGGTTACTTGCAAGTTTTGAGCAAAGCTGGGGTTAAAGTTTGTGTTATCCATGGTGATAGAGACAAAGTTGTTCCCATGGAGTGCAGCAATAACATTCAGATGGCGGCTCCTGACGCAGAGGTTAACATTGTCAAAAATACTAATCACAATTCTGTGATCTTCGGTAGAAAGCGGGATTTTACTCGGCATGTAGAACATATTTGGGAATCGAACTCAGGACGTCGAATGTATGATAAATGCTCTTAAGTATGAAGCATGAATTAGGTTCTTTTGAATTTGCAAAAAAGAATAAACTACATAAAAATTTAAAGTGAACTGAAGTTTGAAAATGTAGCTTTCTTATGTAGCTTTCTTTCTTTTTCTTAGTTTAGAAGGGAGAGGTATTTCTTCTAGAAAGATCATGTGAACTGTGTCGCTTCGTTCTTTGAAAGATTGTCCGCGCGTGCTTCTTACTTTCACGGTGTGTTTACACGTTAAAAAAATCAGGATTTAATTGCTATATTTATCACTTAGAATATTCACAAATAATTTATGCAAATCAAATTCATAATCTAATGCATCACAAGCATGAGCAATGATAAATTGAACATGAAACATTGGTTAGAAAAACTTGGAACTAATCAAGGCAAATTGTAGACATTTTGTTCAATACAATTTAAGACCCATTAGGGTTCTCATGATCTATAAGTGTTTTTCTTTTAAGATACAATGACCATATTTTTTTTATAATAGTAACCCCTCAAAGCGTGAAGTTTTAGCGAGTCACGATTGTATTGAACTCTCTCCGTTATGAAGTTTTTAATTCACGTCTCTATAGCGTAAGTGACTTTAATTCATTAACTAATAAATCAAGGATAGTGTTATTCACACATTCATTTTTACCTCGCACACACTTATTAATTTTTTGTCATTAATCTTCTTCAATTTATTTCATTCGACGGCCGAAAATTAAGAGAGGTGTGTAAGAAGTAAAAAGTTTAAATCTCTTTAGATTAAAAAGACAAAAATTGCGTCATTGGACTCATTTCAATATAAATTTGAACAATCACAACTCATTGTGATTTGAATGAATTGAAATCACAAGAAAAACTGAGAAGCATGTGTTCCAACATTTGTGCTGTCAGTTTGTGCTTGATACTTTTTGGTTTATACCGAACTTCTTGGTTCCAACATGAGTAACTAAATTTGTTAATGTATTTAACTTATACCGAACTTCATCAAATAAACTGAAAAATGTTAACTATGTGTTTCCTTCATGGTCAGTTTGTGACAGGCGTTAGCCGATGAGGTTGGCAACTTGGCATAATAACTTGATATTGAACTCGTCGTGCACAAAGTTAAATCTAAGACCTTTCATTTACAAGTAAAGAGAAAAATCAGGAAATTGTCATACTTAGTGCCAAAATCAAGCATAATCTAATGACTTTGAACTTTGTATTTTTAGATGGAGATAGGCTCAAGGTCCTCCAAAAAGTAAAGAGAGACTTGCATGCACCCGAGTGAGATCATGCTAAAGCCTCAAGAGAGGATTTACACGCACTTGATAATGAAATTGTGACGTTATCTCAAAGGTAATGAGGCGTTTTCATGTGTAAAGAAAATTCTAGTTTCGTTCATGGTCAGTTTGTGACGGGCGCTAGCTTCATATTTTGATCATTCCGTCAAAAACCTCTCTTATTTAACAAAAATTCTTCACACAATGACCAAAATGATTGATAATGGAAAAACTCAGGAACAACTTCTATTGATTTCAAATCTGAGACTAAAGTGAGAAGTTATGTCAATCTCAAGGACTATTTTGGCTAAATGCCAATTTAATTTGAACCCAATTAACAATACTTTACACCCAACTTAAACTTTAAATGTGAATTATCCTTTTTACCCTGTTATATAAATTAACAATAAAACTAAAATTTATTAATGAACTCACACTTAATAATTAAAACCTACCTACTGTCCCGCAATCTTTATCCTACGTCTGCCCAATTGTGGCATGTGTCCTATGGCCTTAGGGGGACGAGGTCAATCGTTTATAATGTCAGTGCTGATCTATAAAACAATGGTCATGGGGTTCTTTCTGCCACAGCTTGTACTCTGCTACTTCATGTTGTATTGTTCGTGTCCATTTAGCATTTTGTATGCACTTTCATGGTTCTTCATTCTTGTAGGAAGGGTTTCAACTTTCCTAGGATTTTCTTTTCATTCCTTTATTATTGTTCGATTTCTTTTCGTTTTTGTAATGCTTGCGACGTGGGATTATAACAAGGACCAATAATGTACGTTTTGTAAAATTCTACGACAAATTAACGGATTTTTAGTTTAGGAATCAAACCTAAACTAAGGTGAAAGTTCAGAGACAAAAACTAAATTTTATTCTAAAACGAACATATCACTAAACTAAGAGATAGATCTATCAGACGCTCGAGTCATACTAACTAGATTGTCCAATTCTAAACTCAAAAAGCTTGTATAGTATTTCAAAAAAAGCAATGGTTCAAACCCTTTCATTCCATTTCTGTAATATCAATTCTGCTCAACTGAGGAAAATAAAAAGTTGTTTATACTACAACAACAACAAAATCTTATCCCACTAAGTGAATTCGGCTATATGACTCCTATAATGTCACTGCACTTGGTTTCGTTTCTACAAAAAATTTATAAAAAAAACCAAAAGAAAACGAAACCGTGAAAAATTTAATTGCCCAGAAGAATATTTGGACATTTCACTTGTTTAGTCTCCTTTGACATGCTGCCGCACAAGTATAAAGCCCAATGATGCAACGATGCCAACCAGGTACCCAACAATGGCTCCATAACTCACACAAATAGGCCATTCCTGCAGAAGAGAATACCAAATCTTCAGACCTCAACAGAAAAGAAGAACAGGCCAATAAAGTGGATAATCCGAATGATCGTACAGGTTACTCGGACATTCAACAAGCACAACAAATCATCTTCAATTTTATGGAGATAAACTAGAGAGAATTAAATATTGCAAAGGTGCTACTTTTGAGTACTCCCCGGAACAGATCGAACTAAATAGATGGCAATCTTTCAATTTTCTGAGAAACAGAAGGATTCCAAGATGAACAACTTTATAGAAGTTTAAACAACATTCAAACACTGCTGACGATATGAGGACATGGTTATACACACATAAAACCCGTTCTATTGATTCCAACCCATTGTTTGTGCATGGCATTCTTCATTCATCAGCTATCATGAGTTATATGTGACTCTAAAACGCGAAGAACACTCGTCAAGAAAAGAAAACTGATTGACACACTGTCAGCCCAACATTCTTGGCTCTCATGCTCGGACAATTCGCACAGTTCTCAGAAGACTGCCAAATTTTGCAATAATAGCTAAAGGCATACATTACATCACCAACTAACCTAAGTTGAATTAAAATGTCTTCTGACAGAATAGAAAAGTACATATTGATATTCAACAGTTCAACTTCAAATAAGTGCAAATTGATAGAAAGCACAGAAGAAGATAATTAATTACACATAAAGATTCCACAAGAAGTGAATAAAGAAAACCAATCTTGCAAAAGAAATAAATGCAGTAATATAGTGGAAAAGAGAAAAAGGAGAAAAGATATTACCTGCCATGGACGTTCCCAGTCAAGCGGCATTGGAAAAGCCCCAAACCAAGCACCAATAACAGCTCCATGTGCTGGTAGACAAATCATATAATCCACAGGTTCAATAGGCCTGCAAGTACATGATACAACCCATAGCTAGTATAAGTTTAGAACACCAGCATTCCCTGATGGAATTAATTTTCAGTATATATATATACTCTACCCAATTAATGATCTCCACTGACATGAACATGGTTAAAAATGAGAGGAAAGAAGCAATTGAGGATAGGAAACTTGCTTTGTAAACGCAAATATACGTTGCCAATCTGTCCATGATGAACCAAAAACAGAAGCTGCAGGCACAATCTGTGTAAAACACACAAACCGGGTTTCATAAAAGAATCTATGAAATCAGAGAGTAACCGATAAGAAGGTAGAATTCATGGTACAGTAATGATTATTTTATTATAAGAAAGAAAAGAAATAAGAATACTGAACAAAACACAAATCAGAGTCATTCCTGTAAATACAGGGATATAAGAAAGAGGATTAAACTATTTAATTCATTGACAAATAAGAACTGCATTTTATAAAAATGAAGTGTCATTATAGGTTACTTTCGAGAATGAGTGTCAGATATTAACAAGTAATATAGAGTACTGGAATGAAGCTTAAAGAAAGTTGAAGAATTGCATCCAAGATAATTTGGAAGTAGAAGCAAAATTTTCTTAAACTTAGAAATGCAATGTAGAGGAAACTTACAGTGAACAATGACATAACGAGAGACCAGTTAATGGTCTTTGGTAGATACCTTGTCAAAAAAGGAAACAGGAAAAAATTACTACTGATTGTACTATAACTTAATCTCTTAAATGGTGATAATCAGACCATTGGAACATTTAATAACACATCTATTTCGGTAATTCTGAAAAACATGAATCCACAGTTGAGGTTGAATAGTCACGTCAAATCCTCGAGAAGTCAAACATAAACCTATCCACCACGACTAGTTTGACATTCTTTTCTCAACAACAAACAAACAAAAAAAAAAAAAAAAAAAAAAAAAAAAAGAAAAAGAGCACATGCAAAGAAGTGATTGAGTTCCAAAATGGAAAGTGGATATTGTACCTTGAACAATGATGAAGTAACAGAATTCTAGTTTTGTTCATGGGAAGAAAGGGTGCAAATCTATCCCCTTCCAACCTCAACTGTGACTTCTAGTTTCAGAATTACGCTTATTAATGACATTGCCTATTGAGCACTTAGTTCACATACTGGATGCCAGCAGGCGCGCCCAACACTATTGCTCCTAAAGCATTTATCAGAGCCCCTACAGAAAGGGCAAGACATAATTAGTTGTTATAGTTTATTGATGAATAGTATCACAAATTAGTTAAACAGTTTAAAACTAAACCCTATACTAATTAAAACAGAGTGGTGACCATTTTTACGAATAAAATTAAAATTTCTGAAATGGAGATTCTGGGGTGACTGGAGCAGGACTACAGATCATTAGTCACAGCAACGAACTTGCTCTCCCTTTGTCAGAATTTAATCTGAATCCTTTTGAACCAAATAGCTAGTGTTTTAAATGTTATATACAAGTATACGACGATGATTTTAGAACAGTTCAGAATCAGCAAAAAATATACAACAGAGCACAAGTGAAAAGTTGGATTATGGACTAACCAGCAGGAAGTCCTAGCAGGCCACGCCCTACAGCTTTGAAGTACTGTAAAATCATATCAAAGACTATAAAATAAACTACAACGAACCAAAAGTCAAAAGGAAAGAGTAAATTCATGGAAGGCTTGTTGGGTTGCTGAGAAAACAAAAGACATCTCATTTTCCCACATTTCCCCACATTTTACATCCGTTTCTCAGCTACCAATCTGAATAACAAAAGCATAACTTACAGAGCACTGTTCATGGTCCTTCCTATACCGGCTGTAAAGAAGAATCACAGCTGGGCATTCGAAAACCTTCAAGAGAAAAAGAAAAACCCAGAACAAATAAATAAAAGAACAATATAACCATAAAGATTTGACAAACAAAAACTAAAAATTCAAAATTTTGGAGATTAAATCAAAAAGTGATAAGAGTATCCACCCAGATCAAACGGAGAGTATGAGAGGGATGGGAGGTGAGGGTGATGGAGTGGACATTGTGGGCCACCCAGAAAGCTACCGCCAATCCGAAGCCAGAAATCAAGTGAACCGCCAGTGCCTCGGCCTTGGATATTGCTTTCGAGGAGGGTTTAGCGGCCATCTCTTTGTTCTTCTTCTGCTTCATTTGCTGCTTTTTGAAACTAGCTGCTTCTGCCAAAACCAATCTGCTTTAATTGTTGGGTTGATTCAATTGTGTGCTGTGGTTGGAGAATATGAGAGATCTGATGCAGAAGAAGAGGGAGAGTGGTGGTCAGGACAAGGTTGTCTCAGGATCCCATTTTTTTTTTATTTTTTGGTCGAATTGAGCCCATTGGTTTTGGTGTATCTGTCACGGACTGTTATTATTATTGGGCTATTCTTTCTTTTTGCACACGGAAAGTTACGTTTATAATCGTCTCTGGACACCTTGTTTCTTTGCACCACCCTTCTCAATTTGTAGCCTATACAGCCCCAGGCAAAGAACGATTCTCAAAGGACCTCCATAGGTGTTTTTTCCAGACCTCGGGTGGTCCCAGGATCACCCCAGTCCCTCTGGGGATCAGCCCCTAATCTACCTACAGGTTACCTTTGATTTGGTATATGGGGGCCAGCCATGGTGTTTCAGCAAGAGAGAGAGATGAAAGATTATGAAAAATGTCGCTGCACAGCCACTACCAGTGGCAAGGATGATGACCGCTAAATTCAAGGAGCGCCATTTTAAGGTTGATGAACTCGCCAGCGACTGGTGGTGGTTATGCTGGCATAGCTTCTTCAACCTTTATTATAGCTATGCCGGCACAACCACCACCAGTCACCGGCGAGTTCACCAACCTCAAAGCAGCCCTCTTTCAAACAATAATCTTTCCGGACGTTTCCCAATTCAAGTGCTCAATTTAACTATTTCTCCAATAAATTTGGGTTGGTAATATTATTCTCATTCTACAACATAATATCAATTCTGGACAAAAACTAACAATAAGGCTTGGAAAAGCAGAAAATGACAACAAAACTACAAACTTCAATACCAAAATTTCCATGATAACAATGTTGAATTGAATGCACCGATTAACCTGGCAATCTAAAATTAACCCAGCTCAATAAACTAGAAAAAAAAAAAATCTAACGGTACCACAATCAATTAAATTCTAAATTGGGAATAATTTTCTTGATAAACCTAAATCAAGACTATTGAAGGCACAATTCAGACAAAAATTACGACTTCATTATAAACCAAACAAGATAATAATTGGGGGAAAGATAAACAGCTCAATCAGCTAACGACGAAGAACCACATGAATGAGAGAGAGAGAGAGAGAGAGAGAGAGAGAGAGGAGAGAGAGAGAGGAGAGATGGAGAGAGAAGCTAACCTCGCCTGGTTTAGTGAGAGGTGAGAGGGTGACAGAGTGAATGAAATCGGAACTGGAGCGAATGCTTCTGCAGTTGCAACGAGAAGAAGAGTACCCATATGGCTTTGCGGGTGCGCCGAATCCGAGTATGGGCTTGGAGCGGGTTTGAATCCGGGTATGATATTGGAGCGGGTATACACTCCTAACAAAGTGTTTTTTCCTTTCATATATTATAGAATGTTTGAAATGTAGTATGAGATTTTTGGAATGCTAATAATAATTCTAAAGACTTTTCAAACATAACGAAGAAAAATACCATTACGCGTAATGCTACGTATAAAATACAAGGCAAAATTTCACCTAGGAAAAGACAACGAGAAATGTTAATTTGAGGAATAATATTTTTTTTTTATTTTTAACAAACGATATTATTTACATTACGAATAGGGGTGGACTTAGCTACACGATGAGCTAGCAATAATGTCGTTCAAATTCATCTTTGGCGAGAATCGAATTTAAGACCTCTCATTTATAAATAAAGAGAATATCACTAAGCCGTAAAATTTGTCTTTGATTAGAATCAAATCTAAGACTTATTCACACAATGGGCAACCTAATTTGGTATCGAATTCGTCATCAAGAAATTTAAATCTAACCCCTCTTACTTACCAGTGAAGAAGAATACTATCAGATGTGTAGCTTGTAGGACATTCTTTGTTTATTAAGAAATGTAGGTTTTAAGAATGGTTTCTATGGGCGCCCGGCGTCTGGGGGTCAGCATCGTTGGGTATACAATTACAAGAAGAGATCCATCAGCCCACCATCAACGATTTCACCTACCTAGCTATCACCTCCCACTCTCTCACTACTCTTCTTACACTCTATGGTCTGTCGTATATATATCAGCTAGTCAGCGACAGACACCCACTCCAATTTATATAGATAGGCTAATCGTCCACCTACCCAGACTCTCTGCTACCCATTTTCCCACGAATCCCATTTCTGGATCGATATCTTTTAATAAAACCAAGAAGCAAGATCTCTTTTTTTTGCCCAGAACCCACGAAGAATATGGATTTCTTAGAGTCACTGGATCCCCAGATCCTTGTGGGTGCAGCTGTGGCTGTTGTTGTTATTGCGGCTGCTGCTTATCTCTTCTCCTCCAAGAAGCCCAAAGGTTTGAACTTTTTTTTAATTGCCCTTTTTTTGTTTTCTTTCAATTTTTTTTGTGATTAGTTACGTAGTTTTATCGTAGTTGTGGTTGATCATTCGAGTGTTGATGTTGGGTTATGAATATGTATGCTTTTTCTGTGATTTTTATCTGGATTGGTTTTTGGGGGAGTAGAAAAAGTTTGTTGTTTTTTGATGTCCTCTTTTGTGATATTTGTTTTAGTTGCAATGATCAATTGGGTAACCATATTTCGATTAAGATTGATGATTGACTTTGCCGCTGTCACTGGTACTACAATTTAGTGGTACCCGTTTAAGTGGTGGTTTAAAGTTTGACTCACATAGATGACAAGTTCGATACCTAATTATTATTGCATGCTCATTCTGTGTGGCTTAGCCAAAATTTCCGCCTACAGTAGAATATTGTTGTATCGAAAAAAGTTTGATGCTTGGTTTTAAGGAAAAGGGTTCTCTGTTCCTTGTATGGTAACATACTTGGAGAGCAGAGATTTATGTTATCCAGTAGCATAGTTTATAAGGTAAGAGGATCACTTTTTCTGGAAGACAATGGTGGACCAAAGCGTTAATCTTCAAATTCTTCTTTTTCCCTTTCTTCATCCTTTTGTTCATATACAAATCAAACATCGAAAATATCTGTTTGACGAGTTTGAAAATGTTTTATCTTTAATTTCTGTTTTGTTTTGTTTGAAGAAATCCTGGATTTGACCATTTTGCTTCTAGTCCTTCTAGGTCAGCTTTAGATATTGATTCGAGACAGATTTGGGTTCGGTTTTTGAATTGTTTTGTTCTTGCTTTTTATCCTTTTCGGTCAGCTATTCAAATCCTTCGGTACGTTGTGTGTTAACAATGTGAGGTATACAAAACTGGGTGGACTCATTGTCTGTGTGGTTTATGCTAAAAATTGACCCAATAGAATGTGTAAAAATGCCTCACATCGTGGTGTATCTTTATAGTTTGCTTAGATCCGGAGAATTTCAAGGACTTCAAACTTGTCAAGCGCACGCAGCTGAGCCACAATGTGGCAAAGTTTAAATTTGAACTTCCAACACCTACTGCAGTTTTAGGCCTTCCAATTGGACAGCACATAAGTTGCAGGTACGATTGATTCGGATTGGCTTTTTGGTTTACTTTGTTTACTAAATGGTCATTCTTTTCTGAGTCTTTTAGCTGTTGATAATTTGATAAATGATGGTTGATTCACTAAATGTTTGTTGGAAATTCTGATAGATAAAGAGGAAGTTTGGATGATTTTTGTCTTGATTGTATCGTTGTAGCTTCTTATGTGATATACTTTGTCGAATAGGGGCAAGGATGGGCAAGGAGAAGAGATTATCAAACCATATACCCCAACTACCTTGGATTCTGATGTTGGATATTTTGAATTGGTTATAAAGGTATTTATCTATCAACAGTTGTGGGGAGATTCACTTGTACCTTGACTTTATTGAAACATGGAAATAGAGAAAATTATACATGAAGTTATTTTAAAAAGGTATCATGTATTGGACATTTCTTTGCATCAGATGTATCCTCAAGGAAGAATGTCACATCATTTCCGAGAGATGCGCGTTGGAGATCATCTTGCTGTCAAGGGACCGAAGGTACACATTTTTTTGGCTATTCAAATGTTTTTGGCACTTAAATCATATAAATCCTATATGCACTATTATTATTTTTTTTCCAAGTTGATCCCTGGAATTTTATTGTTACCAGGGGCGTTTCAAGTATCAACCTGGCCAAGTTAGAGCATTTGGGATGCTTGCTGGAGGGTCTGGAATCACTCCAATGTTCCAGGTATGTATTTATTACCACAAAAGAGTACAATATGTTCTTTCATTGCTCTCGTTTTGGAGAATATTCTCACCTTCTCTGTATCCACTGTAGGTTGCAAGGGCAATATTAGAAAACCCAAAAGACAAAACGAAGGTGCACTTGATCTACGCCAATGTGACATATGAGGACATTCTTTTAAAGGTATCCTGTGTTCCCCGTTGTATCATGTTTCATATCATCTTTGCATTGTCTACTTGTTATGTTTATTTGATAACTTATACTACCACTGGTTTGGCCCATTCTTTGACTAAGGAACCAACATATTGGGTCTTTATTAAATGCTAGCAGGATGGGTCTACTAATGCACTTTAATTTGATATTTCTTAGCTGACTATGCAATTCCCACTTAGATAACCTGCCCTTGTTGAATAAGTAGTGAATTACATCCTCGGTCTGTATATAGTCTAGAAAGATGTTATTTGTTTCTGGCCCTGACATTGAACTGAGAAGTTGGAATTGTAGTATTTGCGAATTGCAGTTATGTAATTGGATCAAATTCCTTCTATTTGTTTGCAGGAAGAGTTGGATGGCCTTGCTAGTAACTACCCTGATCGCTTCAAGATTTACTACGTCTTGAATCAGGTTAGTGCCTTTCTCATGCAATATATTTTCGAACTATTTTTCTTCCCCTTGCTTTCTCCTGGTGTTTTTGAAAAACTTATTATCTTTTAGTTTGCTACCAGAGCGCTTTATCAAGCCAAAGTAAATTAAAATGATATGAATTCCGTTTTGATTTTTACTGTTATGTGTGTTTTGAGAAGGATGGTCTTCAGCATTAATGTGAACAATATTCCAACTTTTACTGGTTTGAGATTTATAATAATAGAAATAGATAATCCATGCAAATACTACTACAAAGGTCTCCTCATGGAGCATGAAGTTACCATCTTCTGCTTCTGCACGATTGTTTCATTAATGTGAATGATATTCCGTCTTTTTCTGTTTGCGTGGGCTCCTAATCCTTATGTTATATGCCATGACTGACGACCATTATTTTTTTTACTGCCTCTGAAAACTGTTACTTTTCAGCCTCCGGAAGTATGGGATGGTGGTGTTGGCTTTGTCTCAAAGGAAATGATTCAAGAGCACTTGCCTGCCCCAGCGCATGATATTCAGGCAAGTGAATTCAAAAGCTTGCAAACACGCGTTTCCATTGCCGCGTTGTTAGATATGAAAAGCCGCTAGCATACTGTTGTAAGCGAAGTGCTGACTTTGTTCTCGAAATATGCAGATTCTGAGATGTGGTCCACCCCCGATGAACAAGGCCATGGCTGCTCACCTTGAAGCACTTGGATATGCACCGGAGATGCAGTTCCAGTTCTGATCTTTCCGTACGGTCTTCTACAAACGCTGTAATCAGAGGTTTCGCGGGTTGAGCAAAGGAGTTCCATTCGTTGGAACAAGTGAATTTAGCACATTCTTTGCTTTAAAGTCGAATGAAACTTGTTAGATGACAATTGCACTTGTTAAGTGGATTTCTTAGGTTCAAGAACGGATGTTGGATCTTGTTTCTGATGGTTTGGGATCAGAATTTTGGATTAATCCTGGGAATAAATTCACTTTACTACAAATTATAAACAACTCTAAGCACCCGCTTTAATCTTTTTAAAATCCTTAAAAATCTCGATTGAATACACCTATAACAACTACCTATAATGTTCAATCTTCATCAGTTTGTACAACTTGGTGTCGACGCGAGCTTCACGTGCAAGATTTGTACAATTATTTTGCTTCCAATCTTATTAAGTTGGAAGAACGCAAGATTAAGAAGCCTTAGAACGCCTAGTTATACGAATTGATGAAAACCATTAACAATTTTGAGTAAACTACAAGTAAGAATTGTTTACATTTGGCCTCCCAAGTTTTAAACCTAGTTCCAATGAAGTTTGACCTTCTACCCAAGATACTATGCTAATCAATTTACACCTTGAGCTCATGATGCAATGCTATGGTACAACGTCAGTGGCTAAATTACACAATAAGTCATTCATAATTAAGTTTCGAACTCGTCATTCATGTGAGTTGAATCAGAGACCCGTTGCTTATAATGCTATACATAAAGAAGAGTACTATTAAATTGTTAATAATGATGTTTTCTCGTTGATTAAGATGTTTAATCTTGTGCACCTCTCCTAGGCTCAAGGCCAAGCAAA